AAAAAAAAAAAAAAAAAAAAAAAAAAAAAAAAAAAAAAAAAAAAAAAAAAAAAAAAAAAAAAAAAAAAAAAAAACTCAGAAATAGTCATAAGATAATGAAATTAAGTTATATATTTGCCTTTGCAATCAACAGATTAGAACCCCATAGAGCATCTGAACAGTTTTTATCGAACAATTATGAGATATAGGAGTCATAACACCCTTCATTTATATTGCAATATCATCTATTGTTCTTTAAAATGAACGCGGGCATTTACCTTTCAACCAGTAATTGCCGAGTAGCAGAGTTTTATCGCAAGAATTTCTCGTTTGCACTAGCGTAGTTATAATCACATTAAAACAGCGATTTTCAAGGTTTTTATATTTTTCCACGTTCTTGTTTTTGCTCCCGTAATCATTATTACAGAGTTTGTTGACTTTCCTCAATTCTTAACCCAAATTTATCCATTAGGCACTTAATATTGAAATTAACGGTCACCCCAGAATTAATCAATGTTATAACTGGTGTACCACAAATACGAACATATCATTATGTGACTGTGATTCTCTTTTTATTGCTATTCACAAAGTCAATCTATTGTTCAATTGGTGACTTTTGGAAGGCTGAAGTCAATTCTGTCTTTGTTTTGGATAGTTAAGAATTTGTCCGAGGGTAGCGCTTGTATGTTATTGAAAAGAAATAATCCACATTATTATAGGTAAGTAAGAATTCGATTACAGAGGGTCCCTGTTTCTTCCGTGGTATCTTTGTCAAGGGTGACTCCTCTTCTTCCTGTTCTCGTGAAGGGGTTCTCCTTTTATTTTAATTTGTCTTAAACAACAATTTTTGTATCTTAGGCATCCTTTACATGAGGATTCGTAATGTGGTTGAATTGTATGTTTTTATTCCTACCATAGAACCGAATCTATCAATAGCATATACCGTATATTATAGTCTTCATCCAAAATTCTCTAGTAACTTGCTTCCTTATTCGTCCAAAAACTTTAGTGGCTGAATAGATCTTTTATGTGACACGGATTTATTTCGGATAAACAATATCAGGAGTAGTGACTTTCTTTATTCATAGGAAGCAAGTTAACTCCTAAAAAAAATTGGGAGGGCAGTAAGTTCCAGCACGTTAGAATCTCAGACACCATCAAAATTACACAAAACGATAAAGTGAAAGGCAAGAGGTGATAGGAATGAGCGAGTTTAAAAAGATTGTTTTTAATTTAGAACTTTTTCTATAAATACGTAGAATTTAAGCGTTTAAATACATAAATTGTAAAACTATTTATTTATGCTAAGTCGTTTATTCAGCAACCGGTTAACCTTAATTATTTTAGGTTATTTTATATAAATCAAATACGTAAATACGTAGACACATTATTTAAATATTCTAAAAGTTAATTATAAGCCTTATTTATCCACATTTATGTGCATTTTCCACTTTGACAAGTTTTACCACTAGCGCACTGTAAAGTTAAGAGAAATTATTAATTTTAAAAAAGAAAGAAGAAGATTTATCAAAAAAGATTAGAAAAAAGCTTATACATACATAGACAGCGCAAGATCCGCAATTATTGACGTCAGAATTAGTGTCGACGCAGCCGGCGGTACAAATTATCATGAATCCGGATTGGTAACAATAGCTACAATATGTTTTTGCGTCGGTGCAAGTGCATGCTCCGTTTTGACAAGTCGCGCCATTACACTGAAAATTTAATTATGAAAAATCATTAAGAAAGAAAATGATTTATCAAAAAGATTAGAAAAAAGTTTATTCATACAATATTAAAGCAACTTCCGCAATTATTGCTGTCAGAATTGGTGTCAACGCAGGTACTTCCACAAAGTTTTTGACCTTGAGAACAAGTTAAAGTGCAGATTCCACTTTGACAAGTTTGGCCACTATTGCACTGTAAAGTAATTAGTTAATAAGAATTATTAATTATTTTAAAAAGAAAGAAGACAATCTATCAAAAGATTTGAAAAAAAACTTATACGTACAGCGTTACCGCAAGCTCCGCAATTTTTGCTGTCAGAATTGGTGTCAACGCAGGTAGAACTACAAAGTGTTTCTGTGCCAGTGCAATCACACTTTCCGTTTTGACAAGTTTGACCACCAACGCACTGTGAATTAATTACGAAAAATCATAAAAATTTTTTTAAAAAAGGCGATTTATCAAAAAGATCGAAAAAAGGCTTATACTGTACATACAGCGTTACCGCAAGTCCCGCAATTTTGACTGTCGGAATTAGTGTCAACGCAGGCACTTCCACAAAGTGTTTGACCTTGCTGACAAGTTAGGGTGCATTTTCCACTTTTACAAGTTTGGCCGCTGGTGCACTGTAAAGTGATTAATTAAGAAAAATTGTTAATTTTTAAAAAGAAAGAAGACAATCTATCAAAAGATTTGAAAAAAAACTTATACGTACAGCGTTACCGCAAGTTCCGCAATTTTGGTTGTCAGATTTGGTGTCAACACAGGTAGAGCCACAAAGTGTTTCCGTGCCGGTGCAAACGCATTTTCCGTTATGACAAGTTTGGCCACTTGCGCACTGTAAAGTTAATTAAGAAAAAAAATTTAAAATTAACAAAGAGTTTTGTTTAAAAAAATGAATAAAAGTTTATACGTACAGCTTTACCACATGCTCCGCAGTTTTTGCTGTCAGATCTGGTGTTAACGCAGGTGGAGCCGCAAAGTTTTCCACCATTGGGGCAACAACATTTTCCCTTATGACAAATAAGATTATCAGCACACTACATACGTACAATAATGATTAAGAAAAATTATTAAAAAATATAAATGATACGATAAATTAACAAACAAATCAATAAATAAATACGCACGCATTTTTTGCCACATATTTTATCTTTAACACAGCATTTTCCGTTTATACATTCACAAGAATTTTCACACTGCAAATACAAAATCATTAATAATTACATTAAAACTTGTTAAAATTATAAAAGGATAAAAATAATGACGATAATTTATAAACACTCACGCATTTTTTTCCGCACGAAAGTTTAGAAGGACAGCAAATTCTATTGTTTATACATCGATCGCCTTTAGGACACTGTGAATGGGATTTTTGAAAGAGTTAGAATGAATACGTATTAATAATATCAAAATGATAGAAATACGCACGCATTTGGTGCCACATAATAGTTGACCTTCTCGACAATAAGAAATGTTTCCACGCGTTGTGACTAAAAAGGTGAAAATAATTAAACCACGAGTATAAAAAAGACAATGAATGATTTGGAAAGAACTTTACCGCAAAGAACGCATAGAAGAACAACAAAAAGGTGAAACAATTTTATGTGCATTTTACAAGTTCGGATTTCTATAAAGAAACCATCTTTTGGAATTGAAAAAATTTATGCTATTTATATAACTTTTTTATGTTACATATACACGATAATATTTCTTTACCGCGAGTATGCAACTTTGTGTTGTACATTAGAATTTTAAATTCGGATAAATAGGACTCAATTAATGTTGTCACAATGAATTTACATGTAACCGGTAGGACAGAAACTATAAAGGAAATTTAAAATAGGAATTCAAAAAAAATATTAATCTGGGTGTTTCATTTCCTTTAACCAGAAGAATGCATTGTGTCGGGGTATGGGCTGGCAATGTGAGTTATGCGCATATAATATTGATTGTAAAAGAAATATTATGTAATCGCGAAAGTATAATTAGTGCAATACCTTTGAAATTCTCATTGGTTGAAGTCGGTTACATATACGCGCTGTACTTTGTAACGATGCAATGCCCCCTTTTCCAAATGATTAAAGAAAACCGTAATTTCCCTTTGCATCTTATTTTGCATGTGCATGCGACAAGTAAAAAACATAAATAAAAATTAAATATAGTGTATATCGCACAGAAAGCAAAGAATGCATTGATTTAGATATTGTACATGTTTACATCACTGACATCTAAAATATATACAGTAATATATATATAAAGAAAGAACGTAATAAAAGTATAATACGATATGTTTTTATTTAAGATGCATTAAATAAAGGGAACTTAAAAAATATATACTGTATATACGTATATTGTAATTAGTCTTTCGATTTAGTATGTACAAAAAATTAAAGAAAACTCATTATTCAAAGAATTTAAAACTTTCGGAAGTTACCGACTCAAAATTTTGCCCTTCACTTGTTACGTAGACAAATTCATCATTTCCCAAGCATTCTAATTGCAGGAGAGTCTTCGTGGTGCTACAAGTCGTAAGATACGTACACAAATTATTAAGTATTGGCATGCGGAATGCGTACGTAGAATTAGATAAATTTTTTCTTACGTAATTGTGCTACAAACTTTCGAGCTTACCTGTTACGTACTGATTACGTGATGATCCTTTCTTCTTCGAGGCGATCGGGTTCAATAAAAAAAGAAATGCGCATTTCTTTGCTTGTAGTACGACATGTAAATAAATTTAAATGCATTCATTTTTCATTGCTCATGAAAGTAGTCAAAAACTTTCTAGAGTATGGCGTGAAAGAAACTAGTCTTAAGAATGAACATCAAGATCTTTTCTTTCTTAGTACTATCCTTGGCCACTCTGTTCTCCGTAGTAATCTCAAGTCCGGTAATTTCCTCGACCTGAAAGAAATAATATTTTTATTTATTTAATCTGTTCTCTAATCGATAATTATCGAAACATTTTCACAGAAACATTAGCAAAAGCAATTCCTGAATTCATAAAATAATACTATACATATTGTATATACAATTCTTGCGCTTATCTAACCTGTATAATTTTAAGGAGAAAAATCAAAGATTCTAAAATTATTATTTTAACTGCTACGTAATCGTTTCCACAATCTAATTATTTGTCATCCTTTAATTCGCAAGTATAAGTGTGCCATAAAAAGAATTTGGTTATTATTCTCGATCGAATATACAATTATTTAACCAAAATTATGAATCTCTGACCGTTTCTATGACGAACTATTAGGCCGTAAGCAATTTTATATCGTATTTTATTGAAAAAAGTTTAAAACATCATTATTGATATTTTATAAATATTATTGCGCGCTATTTAGTTATAAGAATGTGAGTAATGTTCTTGGCGTTGTTTTTGAATCAAAAATGCAACATTTGCTATATATATATATATATATATATATAATTTTTTTATATTGGTTCATGCGTGAAAATTTTACAATGTTAATTTCTATTTTTATTTGTCAATTAACAAAATCCAAGATTATGTGACTCGTTTTTTCGAAATATTTTATGGAGTGTAGTGCTTGTATTAGGTTATGTTAAAAGGTATTATTTCTCCAATAGACTTTTAATAATTTTTTCAATTAAATTGATCATTTGGATAATATAATGTGTGTTTTATGTTCAACTTATATATTATTTTATCAAAAATAAAAGGACTTGTTGGTGTATCTACGTACAGCGTTTTTTCGAACTCCTGCACTAATTGAACAGCGTGAATATCCACATACCGAATATAACATAAAATTTATACATGCAACAAAAAGTGTTCATAAATTATTTAATTTTTTTAAAAAAAAAAATTTTTAAATTTTAGAAAATTTAAATGAGTTGATTTTTTTAAAATTTTTTTTGTTTACGTATTGATTTTAAAGTAGTCTCTATAAATAAAAATAACAATGTTTTTTTTTTTTTGCAAAATATTTATAAATTATATTAAGGTTCTTATTTTATCAAAAATATGTGATTATAAAAAACATTATTTTATTGTAATTTTTCAAATACATATTTCTATTATAAAATTGAAATATTGTTTAATAAACCAAATTATTAAAACTATATTTGTACTAATATCTAAAGTTGAAAATATCATATAATATTATTATAAAAATTTTAAAACCATATTATTTAATCCATAATTATATCATTACAGTGTATTTTTATTGAATAGTAATTAAATATCAATCCGTAGGTTTATATTGCAGTGAGTGTGTTCCCAGGTCCCTAAGCATAAGGTGCCAGTTCAATCCTACTTAAGAATAATACTTACAATTTAAGTTATAGTGTATAAGGTTGCATGCTTATCAATTATATATTTTACTTTGGATACAATCAATCTAAAAATTTTTCTTTTGATCATAGTCAAATAAATTATATCATACAGTCTTGATCAATTTAAATTAAGGATTTTCAATATCTTATTACTTGGAAATATAAAGACACCAAAGAAATTAGGAAAAACTTTGATTGGTTCAAATCTCTATTGAAAATATAAGAAAATCTATCAAAAAAACTTTCTCATTGGAGACTAAGAAACTTAGGTCAATAATATTAGTTAAAAATATAATGGATCAACTATATATTAAAAAATCTATATAATTATTATTACCAATGGCCATCATAAAAAATAGTTTTTATTCAGTCTAATATCTTAATAAGTCATAATAAGAATTGCAAAGGCAAACAAAACTTTAGAAGAAGTAATTTATTAACAATAACTAAAAAATGTCTCTGTAGATTATTTTAAAAGCAATTAAGAATAATATGATAAAAAATAAAAATTAATTATATGGTATACTATTGATTACTAATATATTGGTACATTAGTAAGAACTTATATGGATTATAAAATGATTCTATCTGAGAATTGAATATAATAGAATATATTATATAACTTACAATAAATAAAGATATAAGATATAATCAGATCAATTAATTAAGAATCAAATTTAAGATTTCTACTTAAAAAGAAAAGGTTTTATAATAAATATTTAAACCACTATAATATTCAAAAATAATAGAACAATTAACAAAAATGATATTATATAATAAAATTGATATATCTAATTTAAATAAGTATAATAGAAAAACTCTTTCCGTCAATCATGTGACATAGAAAGACAAACTATTATGAAAAAACTCTGCATATACAGTTTCGAAACAACTGCTCGACATGAACCCGACCAAAGACTTTGGAGCAGGACTAGCTCCACCAGAACATACCTGAATGAAAACCTCCTCAGCAAAACCAACGAAAAAACCACCCAGATTGCAAATACAACTGCTACACTGAAACCTCAATCTGCAGACACAAAAGAAACCAGCAACTGTCCAGCTAAACAAACTACACCCACTAACAATCTCACTTCTGACACAAATACAAGCACCCTTCTTGTCACATCTGCAACCACAACCACAACCTCCAGCAATAACAATGATATGGAAGAGGTGACGAACATCCGCAAAAACAAGAGAACAATCCTGCCACTCAAGCTGAAGCTACACTGCAATCCGGAAGCTGAGACGACATAGTGGCAGAAATGGAACTTAACAACACCAATGGGATAGAACACACGCACTCCAGCTACAAACAAAAACATCCTATGGCTGGCAGACATATACCAGCAAAAGACAACGGTCAACATCTCACCCAACTCTCTCACACAAATCCTTCTCTCCCAAGATCTGACTAGCAATAGAAGATGGCTGACAACTATCAAAATATTAACCTACACAGTAGCATCTATCAAGAGAAAATGTCACTTGTCAAAACAGAACTCAGAGACCTGAAAGGGCTAATCAGTGCCCGAATGATACAAAGAAGGGAACACAAAGAATTCATATGCTTTGGGGCAATAAAGACTTAGCAACAAAAGCATGTAACCACATAATCAGCATCACACTAGAAAAGAAATTCACTATCAGAACCCATTTCACAAAATACTATCGCACCAATGGCAT